AATCAGAAGCAACAAAAAAATTCTTCAATCAGTACATGAATACTCAAGAAGAATGATCAAAATCAACTTTTTCTCGCTATTCCAGAGAATAAATCGAAGTATACAACAGAAATCCATAGAAATTATATATATCAAACCTAAATCCAGACCGATATCAATCAGAACCATTCAATGGAACAATCTCCCACTACACTTTCCTGAAAATCCTTTAATCAACAATACTTGCCTAGGTAGTAGCATTAGATGGTACAAGAAAATTTTCAGTATCACCAGAGACTATATGATATGTGAAAGCTCCTCAGTCATCCAAACGTTCGGACGAACACATACCCCACACAGTCTAAAAGTCATCAACCAATTCAACAAAAACATCAGAAAGTTCCATAATAACAAGTACAGTACCCTAATAGCCTTTAGAGTTAAACTGCTCTCAGGAACTCTTCCAACTCACCTCATACTTCACCAACTATATCCTAACCAATACTCAGATACTCTCTGTCCATGATGTGAGCTCTGCACTGAAGATATTCAATATGGTTTTAAATGTCCAGAAGCATTACAAGCAATAGAACAAATCATAAAAACCATTAATCAAACTCTCTATCCAGACAATAATCACAAACTAATCTCTCACATATAGCAAGTTGTCGAATTGTCATGTGAAATCACAGACAAAATCTTCTTCACCTCAACCTCAACCAACTGGATCAAGGCAGCAACAGAATCTTTAACCCTGTTACATGACCTAATTTGGAAACCATGTTGCTCCACAGCCAACACTTCACATCTTATTGGAATCAAGTGGAACCATGCTAAGTCACATAATTCAATTAACTCCACCAATCCAGAAACCAAAAAAACCTCACAAACCAAAGACAACTTCAACAACTTGCAAGAAAACATTATCATTGACTTATCTTCTACTGTTGCTAATTCATTCATCCAATCTAAATATAATTACTCCAAATATATTTATAGCTTAACAATTCTATCTGCTAATATTAATTCTATTTCTCCTAATGCTGAGTAGGTATTCATAGCTGCTCAGTGCCATCCAGCAAGATATATTGTTTTAAACTTTCTTTTCAATATTAATCATATAGTTACTGTAGGCAAGCTAGCATTTAACTCATTGTACTAACACATGAGAGATGTTGTTTCTTTCATGATATATACCATGCTATATACAAATCAAATAAAGAAATGTTGTTTATCTACAAAAAAAAATAAAAATAAAAAATAATTTAACTTAATATCAACTCTTTCTGCTAATCCTCTTGCCAACATAAAAAACAGACATTCTGAAAAAATTTTATATTTCTTTGTAATATAGTCTATACACTTTCTTTAATAACATCAATATCTAGAGGCTATAGCCTCTCCCCTCTTGTTTCTTTTTTTTTTTGATATAAACTTCCTGTATTTTAACAAGTAAATACAAGAAAAACCTACCTACAAAGTTAAAGGCAAGAACACTTTATTAGAAAAAAGAACTTGTAGAAAAAATATTCTTCTCTTTTTTTCCAGAGATTCAAAACTTCAAAAAAGATTGACATAGGCTTTTGAAACTCTTCTTTCATCTTTCTCAAGTTTTTTTCCTATCCTTTCAAGCGTGTATACTTTTTTCTGATTTTTCTAGGGAATTTTGCCTACCTCAGTTTGACCTTGAATTTTTGGTTACACTGAAACTCCTGAATAATAATTGGCTAAAAATTTGGACTGGTTAATCTATATGTAGCAAGAAATGTAAACAAGACATGTAACTTTCATATGTTCCATCTCATACAATAATAAACCTGATAATGCCATTGAACATAGTGAAAAGAGTAAGGTAACGAGATGTTCGTTTTGTTAAGATGTGTTATGGTGCTTCCCTCTTCCTTCTTGGACTGGTTTTTTTTCTCTTCAAGATCAAAAGAAGTCTTATTTCAATTCAGTAACAAGCTTTTTTTATTGTTGATTATCCCAAAAATGGTTGGAGAAGTAGGTCTTGAAACTATTTACTGGTTAAATGAAGCTATAAATTCTTGGAGATTTGACTGGAAGAGAAATCACCAATTAAAACACTAACCCTCTCCAAGGTTAGAAGTCTTCGAATATAAAGTTTCAAAAAATACTTTTCTGAAAGTGCCTTTAAATGTTCTTGATCAACAATGGAATAGTAAAAATTAAATAGTTCGCCCAGCTGCAGGTGGTGATAAAGGATTTATTCTAATAAACTGAAGTTGACATTGGAGGGTTTTTATTTATCAGAACAAACTTTTCAACTACTCTTTTTTATTTCCTCTTTTTTTTAAAAAAATAAAAAATTTTTTAATCTCTTAGAATCACAGGATCATTTAGAGTAACAGTCTGAATGTAGGCTGGCCGAAATTTTTCAAAGCATAGTCTTTAATGTCTAGTTTTGAAAGGTGCAACTTCTTCATTCCCAATGATCACATCTAGAAAGTTTAGATTTAAAAAGTCTAAGATAGTTAATATCATGCAATAATAGCTTAATGAACCTACCCCCTTATAGTGAAATAGTTAGTAAATAGCTAAATCATGTGGGCAACACAGTGGTCTTAGTATTAAGGATTCAAAAATCACGTACAAATTTAAATTCATTAATAGATGTTCTGCAAATTATATGATAGTTTAGTTTTAGTATAGTATTATATATATTGTACTACTGTTTTTCAAAATTGGATGAATAAATGCAACTCTTGCAGTCTGATTAAAAGTAATAATAATAATAATAATAATAATAATAATAATAATTTAACTTAATTCATTTATTATATTGTATTATATTATAAAAATATCATGTTGCATTTTTGTATCTTTATTATCAGATTATTATATAAAATTAAATTTTAAAAATATTGTAATAGAGAATAATTTGATTGATATTAATATATTTATATTTACAAATTAATTAAATATTGATTATATGATATTGATATTTAAGTTTTACAATAATAATTTTAAAACAATGAGTTATTTTTTGAATTTACACATACTGTAAATGCTATTAAAAAAAATTTTTTTTTAATAACCTTTATTTTTAAAAATTGAATTAATATTAATTATTTTTTACATTAAGTTATATATACAGGATATAACTTTTTGTTGATAAATAAGAAAATCAGGATTAATTGTTACACGAATTTGAAAATGTGTATAAATTCAGATAACGCTGTATTGTATGATAAGGATGCAGAGATTAAAACAAAAGGCACGGGAGGTGTTCTCCTTACCTCACTTATGCAACACCCCTACGGCATTCGTGCATCGTCCATGCAGTTGAAATTTCCGAAAATCGAAAATCAAAAATTCTTTATGATCCGGAAATTTTACTTGAATATAATCTGCACAGGTGATGCACAAGTGAGTCACATAAGTGGGTAAGAACACCTCTAATGTCTTTGTTTTTTGAAAAAATATCTGCTGCCAAAAAGTAAGCATGACCTGATAATTTTGTGACTCGAATTAATAAGACTTGAATTCCTAAATATGGTAAATGGATTTAAATTAAATATGTATAGGATGGTATGACAAGTGACATAATAATGATGATTTGTAGCGGTGAAATTAAAATCCTACTTCTTAATTTTTATAACAGTCGACACAACATAACATTTTATCGCCTATCGAAAAAAACTTTTCTACCGAAAATTATAATTTCTAGACTATACGAAATGTAGATAAAGACGAATCTTATGATTCATAATTAAAAAATTCATACAAATATTTGTACAATTTTCGGCCGACGTGTGTAATACAGGGTGTCGACTCGATTGTTTGTTAAGTCTTGTGAATAACATCAAACATTGTCGGAAGGGAATACCTTTAAAAAAAAAATTATTAATTAACAAATAGTAAATTTCACACATGGTCTAACCAAAAATAGAAGACAGAATAAACACGATATAATTTAACATTTATTTAACCGATAACACATATAGATGACTATTGTGAATTCTCAATTTATCCATTCCCGGAAGAACGACTCAATAAACTGTGATACAGAATGTTCGCCCATTGAAAAATCTGCAGATAAGATCAAAACATTGTTTGTTTACATAAGGTCTCTGAAAATCTTTCGTTGTCAATGGGAACACTCGCGTAACCTTTTAAACTTTTATATGCACTATAATTTATATATACATGGAAATTCATTGTAATTATGTAGATGTACAACTTCAAGATTAGGTTTTTTAAATCGGAGTTTTTCATGGCTTCTTTGTTCCAGATTATTGGATCCTCAACTCCCTTTCACCGAATTGTAAATTGTGATGGGCCGATCAGTCGAGATCTTATACTTGGAAGATTTTAGTAGCAACTATCCAATTTTCTTCTTCGTTTGGAACTAATGCATCACACAAAATGATTCCTAAATAAAATCTATCTCCTCATCGCACGACAATACGATCACAACTGGCTAGTGTGTTATATTGCATCTCTTTCTTGCGTGGTAAGACAATCGTGATACCTCTTTGTTATTAGGTACGTACAGTACGTACGATCAATGAGGTTGTTTTGCATTACGTAAGATTCAGCGGCGTGAAATCTGCTACCTGTTCAAGATCTAATGGCATTCATTTACCAACGATATCTTTTATTTACAAATTAGGTTTTTTTTGTACGACCCATTGTTTTGGACACTTATACATACACTTATCGCAAAGAATACATTATCTTCATTTATTTTTTTTTTATTTGACTAGTTTCAAATGAGAACTCTCTTCACCTTGCTGGTCCTTCTATTTGAATCTTCGATTCCTAGTCAGCTTTCGTATTTTCGAGAATTGATCATTAACAGGATTAAATAATTATATATATAGATATTTTCATCCAATAACCTTTAGTCTACTTACTCATTTCTTTTCTGCATAAAAAATATTGTTTTAAAATACCATCAATATATATGTATACATATACTTCTAACATATGACGCTTACATTATTCTTTTGAGTGAACTTTAAACCCTTTATACAATAATATTTCTCGTATACATGATGAACTCCAATACGAGGTGCTCGTTACCTCCCATATCCGCACTTTTAAATTCAGAACTTGATAAAGTTCCTTTAGTGCCGCATGCAACCTCCGGCACTCACGAACCTCAAATATACATCCAATCTAACCTACATTCGCTGAGCTCATCGACATCACAAACCTCGCAACAACTCTATAACGAAAATGTCGATAAAATTCAAAATACATCACCATCTACGAAACAGCATTTACCTCCGATTGAACCTATTTATCATCCACAAGGGTCTCATCAAGTATCTAAGTCACGATCAGATTATGTCTCTAACCTGCCACCACCAGCATCACAACAGGTTCAACCTGGGGCCAGAGGATATCCTACAGAATATGATCAGTATCGTACCTCCTTCATGAATGATGTCAATCAATCGGCAGCTTCTCTGGAAACTGACAGGAAAATATTAGATCTTAAAAAGGTTTGTTAACATTTTAAAACATTTGAAGCCCATATTCCAAGCTCGACATATTAACATGCTTGTCTCATTAGATAATAAACCATTGTACATTAATCGGTCAATTTGCCGAGAAATACAGTGATCTATGCAATAGACCAGGAAACAAAACCACATCTTGGGCATCATCAACTTTGGCTGTCACACCGGCACCTGTACTTGAGGCAAATGTCTCGGACATGATAAACAAAACGTTCGAAGTACTTTATGTATTGAATGCTCTGAAAGATGAAAAAAATAATCGCGATCAGGTTTGGACATTATATATATCCTAATGAGAAATTTGGAAATTTTCCAACAGGAAATTATTAAAATAACTATTTATAAATTTTATAGCAAAGTGAAATCGAGCTAATTAGAAATAAGAGACTCAATCCTGGAGCTTCTCCTGTGAGACCAAAGTATCGAAGACGATTAGTGAGTTCTTGTAATGATTGGTTTATGTATTTTAAATTAAATTAAATGTTTTTTTGCTCACATTTTAAATTTTTGTAGAAACGACCAGCCCCACCAGGTAGGTGTCAATCTTGCAATATTCAAGAGACACCCGAATGGAGACGTGGTCCTGATGGTGCCAGAACGTTGTGCAACGCGTGCGGCTTACGTAAGCTTCTATTTATAATTCACTTGCGCCCAGATTGTTGTTTATTTGTGTTGTATTGATTTTTTTTTTCACAAAACCCCAAGATTTTGCAAAGTTAAACCGAAAACGCGCTCAACTCGCATTACGTGAACAAGAAATGACTCAAATCAGCATGTATCAACCTCAAAATCCATACGCCCAATATAATATGCCATGAATCACCCTCAAACTATCTATGAATTGATCATCAAAGTTGTATAACGATTCTTTTTTTCCTTTTTCTCAAAAATACGATCCCCTTTTCATTTGATCATATGTCATAACATTATTATAAATATTTAGCACGTATAATCTAATAATAAAAATAGAATTCTTCTCTTTTTGGGAATTGAATAAGCATTGTTTGTAGTATTGTAAGTTGCATTGCAACCCCCCATTCTAATTTTGGTCGTCAGATCACCGGAATTTTTCTTGAATAAAACAATATTAATGAATTACTATATAGTCAGCCAACCATAAGATACAGTAAATGAAAAAAATAAAATATGCGGATTTTTTAATTATACTGACAAAGCTTCAAGAAACTAAGTTTAAGGAAGGGTTTTTTTTGCAATTCACGCATATTTGATAATTTAAATTGCTATCGACTATTTAGAATCTGCTGCATATGAATCTTAGACATCGAATATTAAAAATAGAAATAATATTATAAAATCAACTTTTTAATATATATTTATATTATTTTGGTTAGTTAATTAATTATAGTAATAATATAAAGATTTTTAACTAAAGTTCTTCATATTATCTTATGCCATTTTTCATAAAGATAAAGAAATATACTTGAGCCTTCAAGAAATATGTAAAGATGATATTATTAATTTAATCCTTTGTATTCGTGAGCATGTTTTTTTTAAATTTGCACTTACAATATATAAACTCGTGTATAAAAACATGTGTAATGACCATAATTCATATAATAAATTCAATATAAAGCTTGAAATTAAATGATTTAAATTTAAAATTCAAATAAAACATTTGTTTAAATATTATCTTGTTAATTTTTTTTTTATTTTGAAAAAAAATACAATTAAATTTTAATTTTTAAGTAAAGTCTTTATAATTTTTATTATTAAATCTAAAAATAAATTTAATTGTTTAAATTTATCATAATTTAATTTAAAAAATATAATAATTAATTGAAATAATATTATAGTTTTAAACACTATATCATATAACTTTTGAAATCAAATTTTCAAATAGTTATATTTGATTAATTTAGAAAAAAATCAGTAAAATAATATACGTATATCGAAATTGTTTTATTAAATTTTTATTATATATAATATTTAAAACAGATAATTTTATATACTGTATATATAAAATTAATTATTTTTTAATTATTCAATCATATTAATCTTAATTGTTAAAGTTTTTATAAATTACAAATTTTTTTATTAAAAAAAAAATTTCTGCTTATTATATTGTATAAGTATAAAATAATATATATATATTATTTTATTTATATTTTGTTTAAATACTTTATTACATAGACCTGTAGATCTATAGTACAATAGTTAATACTCTACAAGTCAGATCATAAAATATCAGTTTAATTTTAAATAAAAATAGTTAAATAAAATTAATATAATATTTAATGCTATAATTTGCAAAGTATTATTTTTTATAAGAAGCTAATTCATATACTAATTCAGCAAATATTGAATTTGTAATTTCAAAAAAAGTGATATAATATAATGATTATTTAATTAATATTATAATTATTATTAAAAAGCAAAAATACAACATATTTGAATATACAAATAAAGTCATATTTTATTTTAATTAACTTCAATTAATATTCATTTCATAATAATTAAAGCTCTAACCTGAACTATTCTAATCTGATACAAAACTTAAAAAAATAATATTTACTACAAATAGAATTCTTAATAGTACTATTTTAATATCAAATTAGTATTAAATTTACTATGAATTTAATATAATAGATTATGATTCATATATTAAATTTATTATAAATTAGTAACAAGTTAATATTATTTTAATACTCAGTTAAGAATCCTAGCTACAAGTAATAAAAAATATTATAACTTATAAAATTCAAAAATATTACAAAACAAAACTTAAAGTTTAAATAATAAAGTAGCAAAAAGTATTTGAATTAATTTTTTTAAATATCACTCTATTATTATAAATTATAATTGGAATAAATTTTTATTTCTTATAGATTTGTTTTTTAGATCATTATAAGTTAATTATTAAGCAATAAAATTAAGTTTTAAAATAAAAATATATGTATAGAAAATAATTTATAAGAAATATATAATGTATTGATTTATATAAGTCATAAAATATAATTCAATAGTAATTATATATTAATAAAATTCTTGTATTTATCACATTTGACTATCTTAAAAATTTATTATTATTATTATTATTATTAAATATAATTAATTAAAAAAAATATAAATTAAAAAAATACTTTAAAAAAATATAATTCTAAAAAATATTAAATTACTATAAAAATTATTTTTAAAGTTTCTAAAATATTTGATAAATTTAATTAAAACTTTTAAGTTATATATATTAAGAATTTTTTTAAAGATTTTTGTTAATAATATGTTTTATAGATTATATAAATCTTTTTTTTTAAATGATTAACATACTTTTGTTTTATTAAGTATAATAAATTTAATATATACAAATTTATTTTATATAAATTTTTCATTATATTAATCTAATAAACTATCTAAACTAAAACTATTTCTAATTACCAGTTAACTTATTGCCCTCCATATTCCTATATTATCAACATCAGACCCTGATAGTATAAGTAAAGTGTTAATATATCAAGATATATATCTTTTAGTCACACTCACTATTTGATAAATAGAAACTTAAAAAATTATATTCTAATATGATTAGTTATGAAACAAATTATATTCACTAGAAAAATTTATTGGTTCTAATTAGGTCTAAATAAAAAAAAAATCAAAAAAAAAATTATAAAAAAAGAAAAGTTTTTTCTTTTTGAAACAAATATTGAATAATTAAAAAAAAGTTAAAGATAAAAATTTAAAATCTTGTTTAAAGAGAAAACTATAAATTATTTATCTAAAAAAGAATCAAGATCAACTTCTTATAAAAATTTAAAATAAAAGCTTCTTGAGAAAAAACTTATTAAACTGGAAAAACCCATATGTATTATTATTATATTCCATATATGTTGTTGTAGGGAAAAATGATAGGTAGATGATAGGAAATTATAAGGGTAAGTATATCAGGTATAAATGGTATATCAGG